CACCTTTTTACAAAGGTGTGTTTGAACTAAGAAACTGATGTTTCCTTCAGGCTGTAGATCTGCTGAATATCCAATGATACCATAGCTTCGTGTTTTATTTCTCTTCTCTTTACTGCATAAGCTTTAATCCTGTTCCTATACCAACTGTATGTGTGTGTGTGTGTGTGTGACTTACAGCGGATCTAAATATTTATAATTAATTATAACTAGTTATGATTAATTATTCATATTTCCCCTTTGAGCTGATTCGCTACATTGATCAGCGCGTTTCTCAGAGAAGGGACAGAGCGGTGTGGAATAAAGGTAAATTATGTGAAAAAGAATGTGTTTTTAAAAAAAACGAAGCATTAACACGTTAGACTGCACCCCATAAACACAATCAAGCCTAGAAAAAAAAACATTGAACCACCCCTTTAAACTGCCTTGTTACCAAATAATAAAAGCTAATAATAAAGGTATTGTGCCTTGCCCAGAATAATAATTTTAAAAATCCTTACAATTCCAATAGGGTTTCAGTGCTTCACACTTGAATCCCTACTCATTCATTTTAATAGCAGCATATGAAACCTTTACCACTGAACTAGGAAATGTCACTAGTTTACATTTGAGAAATCTGGTCACCTTATCCCAATCACAAGACCTTCCCCCTTTGCTGGCTTCATCCAGTTTCACGGCTCTGCCTAATACTTCCCCATCCTCAACTCGGCCATCCTCCTTCTCCACCTTAAGCCTCTGAGCCCATGACTCCACGTAGGTCTGTTGAGGCATCCACCATTGTCAATCACCCCTCAGGTTCCACTGGGCTCACTCGTCCCTCCAGCCTTGGTCAGTCACCGCTCTGCACAGACTTCGGGCCTCGGCTACACCTCAACCCTTTGATTCTGTCAGGCTCCTTCTCTCCGGCTCCTCCTTTGTTGTCGCTCCCTCCGGCTCCACCTCAGTCTGTCAAGCCCCTGGCTCTGCCTCAGCCCTCAAGGGGGCACCTGGCTCTGCCTCAGCCGTTCAAGGGGACGTTCACAGGACGTCCAGCGGCCATTCGGGATGTTTAGGGGACTTTTGCTTTAAGTCCTCTTTATGTCATTTTATTTTACTTTTAGTCTAACCAAAGAAAACAAACAGGAGCAAAATACGTTTATTTTAATTGAACAATTGTAAACAGGGTGTGAACTATGGGGGAGCTAGGGGGAGCTCGGCTCCCCTTAATAAGACATGGGCTCCCCTGAAAACGTGATTTGTGAAATTTTGGGGGGTCTCAAAAAATATTGACAATGTGTTATTTTGACGTGCAATTTCAGTTTTGTGTAATGTGATCATCGTGGATTATTATGTGTAAAATTGCAAAAATATCATTCATTCATGCATGGCGGCGATTTAAACCTAATTCACTTCAATAAAGATAACTATACATGCTATTCTTGTCATGAGCATCAAGGTGTGGGGGCGCTGCGGTGCAAATTCCACTCATGTTTAGTACATGTTAACTCAAAGATTCGTAGAAAAAATATAAACGCTGGACTCTGTGGTCGATTCTGTGTTAAGGTAAGGCATGTTATTCGCAATTATGTGTTGTGGCTGGGTTGTTATAGGTCTGCGTGACTCTCGATGTCTTAGGCCTAATTGAACGGAGGAATTATGGTATTCTTCTGTAGCCTGACGACGAGTAACTTTAACCGTTGTTCATGTGAACTCAGACAGCCTGATGCTTTGTTTATAGACTATTTGTGGGTGGCTGTTTGTTGTTTCACCTAACAATTCGTGTCGATAAAGTATAATAGGGTAAATCCTGTATAGTGATTTATCCTATAGCGCTTGCATAAAGCAAGTAGTGCATACACTTGTAGCTGTTATGTATCTTTGTAAGTCATTGTAAGCCCTCGCACACGCGCACGAATCCAAACAAGCAAATGTTTTAAACTTTTCATCAAATTTAATCAACTTTATATTCCAGCAATGTCCTTTTCTTTTCTTCATGTTTTCCTTGTCTGCATTCATCAGTCGACACTAACATTATTTTAGAGCTCCTGGGATTCAACCTTATTTTCTTCATGCATGGGGAATACATAGGACCTAATAAATTGTAGCCTACTGTAGGACCTTCGTTCGAGCAGGCCACCTCGTGAGCTATTGAACAGACACATTCTAGAAGAATCTAAAGATCTCCCTCCTCCAAACCATCATGAGGTCTAAACTAATCACACCATCACATGACACCAATGGTCTGGGTCGATTTCCTGTCAACGCCTTGTCGTTATCTCCTCAGAAGAATCGAAAGAGAGATGAAAAACTAATCCAATCAGGAGACAACAGAGATCTTTTGTATCAAGGACTAAAGTGTTCTTTCACAACATATAGTTGAGATACCTCGTAATCGCTATGCACGGAAATATACATGGAAACCTGCAAAGATATTTCCCCACATGCTAAATTGAAGCATCATGTTAATTTATGCATGAAGAGGAACCTTGCGGGCGTGGCTAAGCCCTGCAACAGCTGATTGGGACAATCGCTTCTGGGATGGACCAAATCGGCTCGCTTAAGATCAAATGTCACGAACTGATTCAGTGCTTTTTTCGCCTGTGTTCGACTGCGCTCCAACTTGCGCTCACACACTGCACCATCAAGCGATTGGGTCATCCAGTAACAAACACTTCGTTGAAGCTTCGTGACTCTGCAGAAATCTTCAAAGTCTTGCAAACTCAGACTCTCTAAGACGAACTTCCGAAGCTACTACGTAACCAGGCAACCACTCATTCACCGTGAGTGAATCCCAACGACGTCATCCAAGGAAGATTGCCAGCCAATCAGCAACGCTGTGATTCCCCTCTGCTGGAGACTAGCCAACAAGGAAAACCCCTCTCAACTCAAACGCAAGTAAACAAACAAGGTCTCCTTATTAGCTGGAAAACTGGTGCTGAATTGATCTTAAGCAGTAAATATAAGCCAAGGCTCTGCTTTTGTGATTTTCTCAGGTTGCGATCTAGGAACTAGTAACAAGTACTAGAATTTTGGGACTTCCTCAGAACTCTGTTAACTCTCATCCTCTGAACTGTATGTGTGTGTGTGTGTGTGTGTGTGTGTGTCTTAAGTAGCGTAGTACCAGGTAATCTAGAGTAGCAAATAAATTATTGTTTCATTATAAGGATCATTGTCTTGTGTTGTGTATTTTAAAGTTAAAACTTTGCCCAGATCTTGTTACCTTGACATAGTTAACACAAATACCAATCTTGTATTATTATCGTTGGCCAAAGAGTAGTACAAACAGAATTGGTAAGATACACTAAATTCTACTAGACGCTGGACGAATAGTTGATGAAGTGTAAGCTATACATTTTGAATCAGTAATCAGGTTGACTCTGAATCATTTAGATTCGATTCCCTCCGAAAACCTGAGCTGAAATTCCTTACACTACATTCAATTATTATTGAAAGGTATCAGTTTTTGATGTTTAAATGATAGCCTACAGTAACTGCTGAAAACAGACTCGTGATTTGATGACATCTTTAATTAGAGAAGTTACTCCTTTATTTTTTTTCCAGAAATTAAAGTTATTAATTTTTAACATTAACTTTATTTTACAATTAATTCAAATCTATTATTTTTACTATAGCAAAAAAAAAATAGATCATAATATCAATTAACAAAACATGGTCGTTGCATTCAATCCATTATCACAGTTAAATTAAGGGATTTTATTTTAAGGAATAACCACATCCCCTTTAAAATCCATAGGTTTATATTTTAGATTAATTTTTCCTTTGTCTGAGTTACAAGGTGTCAGGTCTGATGATAAAAGGCCACACATGGGCGACTGGATTTTGCAAGTGTTGTTATGGAAATGGAAGATCAGAGATGAAATAGGGACGTTCGCAAACTGACAATTCTGATTCTGATGATTTGTGTATTCAATTGACCCAGAAGGAAAAGAGACCATAAGAGTTCATGGACAAAGATTGAAGATGATCATATATACAGGAAGTGGAAGAAATTTAATTGGAGAAGAACTGTATCGAAGGCTGTTTGCACAAAGAGTCCAACTAAAACAAACCAAGAGAAAATTCTACGCCCATGCACAGATGCACCCTCTTCACTGTGTGGGATTTTTTGAAGCTCATTTTGAATGGAAGGGTAATGACACAAAAGATTACATTTTTGCAATCAAAGGAAAGGTAGAGCCGCTGTTGGGAATACCGTCCTGCTTTGACTGTCTCATACCAGCAGACCAGGTCAGTGCAACTGAAAATTCATCTGAAAGATTTTCGAAACTGGAAGCTGAATGTCAGTCTTTTTTAATGGACTGGGACAAATCAAAGGTTACAGCCATAAAATCTCTGTGAATGAAAAGGTCACACCTGTAGCTCAAGCTTTAAGGAGAGTACCTTATCTAATGGTATAGTCTGTAAATCAGGAGCTGGATAAAATGCTGTAAGATGCAATAATAGAGGAAGTCCACAAAGGATCTGAGTGGGTGTCCAAAATTCTTCTCATTCCAAAAAAAAAAAGGACACTAAAGAAGTGAGACTCAGATTTCAGAGAAGTGAACAAATCGGTGATAAGAGAAAGACACCCGGTACCAACAATAGACAATACTGTCTATTGTTGGTACCGGGTGTCTTTCTCTTATGTAAGCAATGCAGGGAGCAAAGGTGTTTGCAAAACTGGATAACCGCAAAGGCTTTTGGCAAGTTAATCTAGCACCTAAATCCAGACAATTGACCACATTCATTTCACACAGAGGATGCTATCGTTTTAAGAAGGTTCCATTTGGATTGTCTAGTGCTCCTGAAGCATACCAGAAAGCCATGGATTCTATGTTATATGGGATGCCAGGTGTGGTGTGCTACATGGAAGATGTGGTTGTATTTGCTGAAAATGAAAAGGAGCTGGAAAAAAGACTGAGAAAAGTTTTTCAAAGATTTCAGGAAAAGGGACTGACCTTGAATAAGGAAAAATATTTCTTTTGACTTAAGCAGATTGAGATTTTAGGTAATGTCATCACAACGGACTAAATAAAACCAGATCAACGAAAGGTTGAGACAACAACAAACAAAAAACATAGGCTTTCTATTAAAAGCCGTGCTTGCACAAGTTCTGCACGATCCTCTTCAATAATATCCTCTGTTTACAATACAACCGGAGCACATGCCGCTGAGGTGAGGTGAGGGGCGGGACGATTAGACGCGCACTAGAGGTGGTTTAGCCAATCACAACACACTGGGCTAGCTAACCAATCAGAGCCCATCGCCTATTTCTGAGGCTTCATAAAAATAGGAAAAGATCAGCCCGTTTCTCAGAGAAGGGACAGAGCTGTGTGGAATAAAGGTAAATTATGTGAAAAATAATGTTTTTTTTTTTAAACGAAGCATTAACACATGTTAGACTGCACCCCATAAACACAATCAAGCCTAGAAAAAACCCAGTGAACCACCCCTTTAAACATTATCAAACACACCTCCAGGAACAGGGTTGGGAAACACATTTCCAAAACTTACAACGTCCTCCCCAGTCCAAAAAGGGAATTTACAAAAAATAAAATAAAAAAAACGGTGGAAAGATCATTAAAGATCTTATAAAATTCAGCTATTTACACCATCATTAACAGGTGATCTATTATGGTGCCTTTTCACGGCAATGTAATCCAGAGGAGCTGACATTAAAGTGTTTTGTTTTGTTTAGTTTTTTTTTTTTTTTTTGAATTAAATGCTTAAACAGGTCAATCATCTATCACTAACACACTGCCATATTTAAAATTAATTCCATTAAATTTTCCTCACAAAAACAGCAAAAAATGCAAAGGCCTGTTGTCGCTCAGGTGCAGGGGCTGAATCATATCTCCACATTACATTGCGTGGGAGGGCTCCTGTTTGTGTTGGTCATTTAATGTCATAAGGACGTTGCAGGAGGAAGTAAATTACACAATGTCCTTATTTTTCTTAAACAGAGTTTACAACATGCAAAAGCTCTGTCCCTTTTATTCTGATGAGAGGGTTTGTCATTTACAGTTTTGGGAGGCAATTTTTTCCTTTGTTTTACACTAGTGATCGGCTCACATTGTGGGGAATTTTTTTTTTTTTTAAAGTATGCTGTCATAAATAAAACAGCACAGTGGTCCTGTCATAATTGCTGTATAGTTTACACCAGTGCAAGCTCAGTAAATGGGCACATAATGGCCACAAATGCTTATCGTGTGCGTCCTTCTGAATCATAAAATAATGATTGTGTAAAGGAAGTTAGTGACAGAATAGGATTTTATTTTATTTTACTTTACTGTACTTTATTTTATTTTATTTTAGCTTTTTTTATTATTTATTTATTTACTATCCCAGTCATTTTTATTTCAGCTGCTGAAAAATGATTGTCCTTACATGTTTGTCTTTAACAAAAAACATTGATTTGGGATGAGGGAAAAAAGTCAGTACAGCATAGAATTGCGATATTTTGCTTGGTGAGAATTGTAGGGGTTTCTAAATATGAACGGACACTGATATCAGCCATCATGAGGTTTGCTAATCACCCAGCACATGATTCCAATATTCTTGGTCGATTTCCTGTCAGTCGTGTAAACTCATCTACTCATGAGATCGAAACTAATTCAATCAGGAGACAACAAAGCTTTCTTTGTATCAAGGACTGAAAAGGTTCGTTCCCAACATATAGAAACCCCGATGTCTTGTGACCACCAATGGATGGAAACATTATGTCCAAACCGGAAAAGGATGATTAAATTAACTAGTGCCCTCAGGCCCGATCTAGACGTGACTAACACATGAAATTTTCAGATCCGAGTCCTTTCAAAACCTGAATGAATTAATAATAATTAATTCCCTACAATTAAGTAATCAAAGTCATTACACAATGTATCAACACATGAACGTAAAGTATCGATATTTAATTATATAATAATCAAATATTTGATTATATACGTAAATAGATAGAAATAGAATTTCCCACAAACATGTATTCACTAGCATGTAGGTTGAATTAGTAAATTAATCCAGACAAATCAAAGATCAAATCAGTAATTTGAAGTCTTTGTCAGGTTGTAATTTCACAAACAGCTCAAGTTTCAGTTTCAGTACAATACTTTCACTCACATTTACAGTAAATTAAGCTGTCTATAATGCCAGCACGCAATGTGGTTTTATTTCTAATGCTATAAGAGGCCGAAGACTGGTAATTAAAACAGCCTCCATCCCCGTTTCATTCCGTGATACGGGTTATACTTACTCAGGATGATGTACCGTTGCAAAATTTTACATCTGTAAAAAAAAAAAAAAAAAAAAATTATTTCTTTAAAGACTACTGAGAAGAGGCTTTTTATTTGAAAACTTGCATCTATGAATTATATCTGACTAATAAAATTAGATTATTAGCTTAATTTATATCATGATTATCGTACTTCAAATATATATAAAAAAAAAACAATTTCAGACATTTTCAAAGTGCAAAACAAGTTAGTCTTTTCATTAATAAGCATAGACTCTTCTTTCCACAGCGTTTTCACATAGCTACAATGCCAGAAAATGTAGGGCACTATTTCCAAGTGCAAACAACAAAAAGAGCAGCTAATAATGTCTTTCTTAAACTTACAAAGAAAGTGTTTGATAGGAAAGAATTTGTGTATTATCCTAAAAGAAACTTCTCTAACCTTATTTGAAACAAAAATCAAACACTCTCTCAGTCAAGGTCATTAACAAATTTAGACCAATAAGGAGCAGTGATTTGTTGGCTACCTATTTTTTTTTAAATAATTTGGGTTAATTATTGGTATATCCACTGGTATTATTACTACTATACACAAAGAAATTACCCCAGAATTAATGGCAGAAAATACAAAAGAGAATCCCCTGGGAGTTACAGGAAAATTAAAACGTGAAAGAAATTCATAAGTCATAAGGTAACGCTGAGAGTTAAACAACTGACAAACCAAAATTATAACCTTTTCAAACTAGCTTTTCAAAAAATAATATTGCGCTTATACAAAATCCAACAGGTATTCCAAATAAAATAACATTAAGGAGAAAAACTGGGCTTGTAGAGAGCTTCCATGACTATAAAGCCTTTACATAAAAAGCGGATAATTTCACCAGAAGTTGGTCTATCTTATAATCACACAATAATAAAAAGGAAAGGCCCCCAAGTTGGTCAAAAATAAAATTAGGGATACAATTCCACAACGAAGGCTTTTTTATCAGAATTTTAGCCAATTAATTTTGAAGATCTTATTTAAAGTAGAAAAAGTCTAAGAAATCAAATCCACCTTTTTGAAGAGAATTTATAACAAATTTCCAGATGTAACGTAATGTGTGACATTGGGGTTGAGGATCCAAAAGCAAGGCTTTATTAAGAGTATAGTCAAAAAACAGTCAGGGTCAAAACACCAGCAAACGACAATGGCCGAGGGAAAGCAAAAGAGAAATCCAAACTGCAGGCAATGGTCAGGGCAGGCAGCAAAGGATCAAAAACCAGGTAAACAGTCCAAGGCAAAACACAGGCAAGGAAAAACAAGGAACCAGGGAAATACAGGAAAACACGGAAACTAGGAATACGCTACAGGCTAACAATACACAGCAATGAGAGTGTGTGTGAGTGCATCTTAAATAGTCCTTGTAATAGGAAACAGGTGTTGTCCGATAATGAGATCCTAGGCTGGGGTATCTGGGAAATGGAGTCATGGGGTAGAGTGGTAAAGGTAAGGGATGGAGTGCCCTCTAGCAGAGCTCATGGGCACTCCAGCTGGAGATTGTAACGGAGCTTGGCCATGACAGAACAGTCACAGAGTCCGCAAACGGCCTCCAAGGCCATGACTGGAGCGTCAGAGGGTTCATAGGCGGCCTCCAAGGCCTTGACAGGACAAACTAAAGCCTAGATGACACTACAAGACTTAAAACGTCGGCAGATCATTGTGCTGTTCAGACTACATGACTTGATTGTCTGTCTTGAAGTTGTTGTGGTGTTCACACTATGTGACACTACGTAAATGATCCGCAACAGGGGGTCACACACTACACCAGCTGACAACAACTCTGTCATCCAACGACTCTATCCCGTCCCCAAACCATGTTTTGTTACGAAAACACAAATGCAAGAAGTTGAACGGGAATGATGCAAAACAACAAGTGAAACAGGAGTTGTTTATTTGAAAAAGCTGTTTGCGCGATGAAAAAAGTTCACACATAAAGATTGCCGAGCACTGATCACACACAGTTTTTCCCCCGATCACAGTCCGACCTGTCGGCGAGCTCGTTAACTTGAATCGGGCTTAAAATCCTGTCGTGTGAACTAGGCATAAGAGTTCAGAAACTGCCTTTTTAGCCGTAACGGGACAGGAGAAGAGCTCAGAAACGTCCTTCTTGACCATGACAGGGCAAACTGAGGGTTCAGAAACTGCCTCCTTAGCCGTAACAGGACAAACTGAGAGCTCGGAGATGGCCTTTTTGGCCGTGACAGGACAAACTGAAAGTTCTGAAGTGAGTGTCAATGCCCTGAGAGAAGCTGAAGAGGACGCCGCCACCTCGGGAGGTTCTGCAGCAGAAACTGCCACCTCTGAAGGTTCTGCAGTGGGAGTTCTGCCCACTGCAGGTTTTGCAGTGGGAAGGTTCACACCTCGGGAGCAGCAGTAGCAACAGGAGCTTCAATAGACACAGAGAGTTCAGAAACGGCACTCGCGGCAGTAATAGAGGCATCAGGAAACAGGGAGAGTTCAACAAAAGTGTCCATGGTCGGAACAGAGGTGAAAGGAAACACAGAGAACTCGGGGAATAGTGCCGCTGCTGTCTCGGGAGGAGCTGAAGTCCACCATAGGAGGTTCTGCAACGGAAGCATGCTCGGGAGTGGATTTGGGGACTGGAGCAGGCTCGGGAATGGATTCGGGGACTAGAGCGGACTCAGGGACTGGAGCGGGCTCGTGAGCGGACTCAGGGACTGGAATGGGCTCATGAGTGGAATCATAGGATAGAGTCGATTCAGGGACTGGAATGGACGCCTCCGCTTTGGGAGGTTCTGCAGTGGAAGCTGCCACCTCTGGGGGAACTGTGGCAGTGTGTGCAGCCCAAACAAATAGAATGGCCGTAGCCATCACAGGCAGAGCAGAGAATACAACATCTACCTCCAAGTCAGATGGCGCTGCGGCCGGTGAACTAGAGAGTGTCAAGGCTTGCGGGCTTGTGAGTGTAGCGACCGGCAGGCTTGAGAGCATAGCAGCCAGTGGGCTACCAGCAGCTCGCACCGACACCAGCGATGGGTGCTTCACACTGGAAACCAGCCTCAGTCGCCTGTAGAATACCTGGGTATCTTCAAATGCGACATTCACATAGACCGGGAAAACTGGAGTGGCATCTGTGACGGTTTGGCAAGCTTGACGTAAGCAGGCTCTGGCTTGGCAGGCATGACGGGACGAGACTCAGGAGTAGCGGCCATATTGAGAAGAGGCTCTGGAATGGCGGCCATGACGGGGCGAGACTCTGGAATGGCGACCATGACGGGGCGAGACTCTGGAAGGGCGGCCATGACGGGGCAAGACTCTGGAAGGGTGGCCATGACCTAAACAGGCTCTGGTACGGTGCCATGTTCCTTCTCCGCGACACCCACAATGAATACAGAGCCACTTAGAATCAAGGCATAGTCCATAAAGTCTCTCAAAGAGCAAGTAAACTCTCTTCCAGGTAACACAGATGTTTTCACAGATTCATTGAGTCCAAAACGAAAAATGTCTTTTAAGGCAATCTCGTCAAAGGGTACCTGATAGGACAGTTCACAAAACTGATAAACGTAATCCTCAATTTGCTGATGATACTCAACTCTATATTTCTTTGCGGCCCAATGAAACATACAAATTTGCGGAACGCATAGTTGATATAAAAAAACTGGATGACTAGTAATTTCCTACTGCTAAATTCTGAAAAAACAGAAGTTTTAATTATTGGACCAAAAAACTCAGCATGTAATAACCTAAAACACTGTCTAACACTTGATGGCTGCCCTGTTAATTCCTCGTCGTTTCTAGCATTTGTAAAACGGCATTTTCCATCTTAAAAATATGTCAAAATTACGACAGAAACGTTAATTCATGCGTTCATGACCTCAAGGTTAGATTATTATTATGCTTTATTGGGTGGTTGCTCTGTGCGCTTAAAGGGGTCATTGGATGCTACATGCACTTTTACAAGTTGTTTGAACTGAAATGTGTGTTGGCAGTGTGTGTACACATCCAGCCTATAATGATAAAAATCCACCCAGTGTTTTTTTTTTAATCTACTAAAATTTTTACCCCTTTCTCAAATCGAGGCGATCTCAGATGCCTGGTTCGGGGGGTAAAATACACATTTTTTTGGCAGGGTTCTCCTGGTACAATTCACATTCCAGGGCCTAAATATCACGTTATTGGGGTCGCTTCAACCTGCTGACATAAAAAACAACCGGCGGCAATCGCGGATTTGGCAGCACTGGTCCGCAAACTACGTTTCCTATAACTCCTCCCCGAACTTCCCGCTGCCCTGTATCTTGGTCTCTCATTGGCTGTAGGTCATCGCCGATGTGTTTTTCAGTCAGAACTCATTTCACACAGCGTGATTGTGAATCGCCGACAGCTCCAGATATTTAGCATGCCAAATATTTCACGGGCGTCGGCGACGTGTCGGCGATTCCCTTTGATAATTCACACTGTGTGATTGTCACTCGTGTGAACGAGCACCGATTTGCCTCCGATTTCGGGCATTTGTCGGCGATTTCGCAAAACCTGTCAGTGAGTGAAAAATCGGGCTAAAATCGTGCAGTGTGAACTCGTCATTAGGAACCTAGGTGTGCTGTTTGTTAGCAATCTTTCCTTTGAAAACCATGTTTCTAGCATTTGTAAAACGGCATTTTCCATCTTAAAAATATGTCAAAATTACGACAGAAACGTTAATTCATGCGTTCATGACCTCAAGGTTAGATTATTATTATGCTTTATTGGGTGGTTGCTCTGTGCGCTTAAAGGGGTCATTGGATGCTACATGCACTTTTACAAGTTGTTTGAACTGAAATGTGTGTTGGCAGTGTGTGTACACATCCAGCCTATAATGATAAAAATCCACCCAGTGTTTTTTTTTTAATCTACTAAAATTTTTACCCCTTTCTCAAATCGAGGCGATCTCAGATGCCTGTCTGTGTGACGTCACACAGACAGGCCCCTCCCACGATAGTTTGATTGACAGTAGCGTTTCAGCACAGACTGGACTGGCGTCTTACCTTAGACCCGCCCTGAGTGACTGTCATCAGTCCACCATTGTATTACAACTGGAGCAGATGTAGACAAGAATGACACCTAAGCGATTGAGGTGTTCTGTTGTTGGAAGTAATAATGAACATAGCAGTCGTCATTTACTCCAGACATCTGAGCCACTGAACTGGCAGTGGATTACATTGTTTCTGAAGGGAATGCGCCCCCGATCTACATAAATGCGTCTATGTTCGCGCGAATCATTC